GTAATTTTATTTTATTATTATTATTTTTCTTTAATTCACTAATTTTAGATTGATTTATTTAAATTTGTTACTACACCGTACACCTACACTACCTTTCAAAAGGGGTCAGGTAAGATATTTTTAATGTTTTTGGAAAAGTCTCTTATGCTCACCAAGGCTGCATTTATTTTATCAAAAATACAATAAAAACAGTAATATTGCAAAACATTATTACAATTTAAAACAACTGCTTTCCATTTTCCTATAGGGTAACACTTTATAATAACTTTCATTAATAAATCATTAACAAACATTATATAATGCTTAATGGATCATTAGTTAATATATAATTCAAATGTTAGAAACATGAGATAATGTGCTTGTTAATGTTTGCTAATAAAATTATTAAACATTAGATAATGTTCAAACAAATCATTTCATGCAAGGTAAAATGCTTAAAAATGTCATTAAACTTTCAATTCATATGATCAAGCACTTCTTGAAAACCTACAAATGATTTTAACAGATGTTATAAAATGATTAAAAGATTGTTTTAACGCACAACACTTTTGCTGCTTCTGAGGTGTGATACGGGTAAGGTTAGGGACAGGTTTGGTGGTAAGAGTTGCTTAAAGGGGTCATATGATGCGATTTCAAGTTTTCCTTTCTCTTTGGAGTGTTACACGCTATTCGTGAATAGATAAGATCCCTAAAGTTGCAAAGACTAAAGTCTCAAACCAAAACAGATATTTTTTTATAAAAGTTAAGACTCGTCTACGCCCTCCTAAAACGACTCGTTCTAACACGCCCCCACATGTCTACATCACTGTGTGGGAAGATTTGCATAACACTGCCCAAATGTTCACGCAAAGAAAGAAGGCGTAACTTTGATTCTCGCTGTAGTATTGTTGTTGCCGCCACCGCCGCCATGTCGTGGAGACGCTGTGTTCATTGTGAAAGTAAAACTACTTTGTTTGGTCTTCCGAAAAAGGACAAAACTAGAAATCAGTAGTTAAGTTGTATTTACAACACTGTTCCAGAACATTTCAAACCAAATATTCAGATGTGTGTAACGCATTTTATAGAGGATGAGGACTGTTTCCTGGGAGAGTAGCCTACAATGCCGGTGTTCCGGTGAATTCAGTTCTCCTGTTTCCCCTT